GTTGCGGTGTGATCGCGCCTGCTTAATGCACCCCTGATCCGTCCCTCTCGCGGATCAAAGCCTCCCGTGTGACCGGGGCCTGAGTTCCTGTTTGTATTACCATCCCACCATCATGGGTTATTTCTACACTACTATCCAGATTTTAAAGTATTCTGCTGTCTTGGGGGATGGGATGGGGAACCACGCAGTGGATAGCTCAAGCCAACAACCAGCTGCTGTGGGAACTAAAGGGAATGAACAACAGCTTTCCAGCATCACAAAATGTGCACAGCCCAGGTTTCTGTGTTGCAAGATAACTGATCAATTTGGGATGATTCAATCATCAACTTCTTATTGTTAACCCAAGATACTATGTTTTGTATCTTTTTTAAAAAGTTACATCACAAAATCTAAAGGTCGTAAGAGCCCTGACCTAGATCTCGGAAGCTAAGCAGGGTTAGCCCTGGTAAGTACTTGGATGGGAGACCCCCAAGGAAGTCCGGCATTGCTAAGCAGGATATCTCTCGCCTTGAAAACTTCCCTTTTTGGCCATCAAGTCACAGCTGACTTATGGCAACCCTGTACAGTTTTCAAGGCAAGAGACGTTCGGAGGTGGTTTGCCTTTGCCTGCCTCTGTGTCGCAACCCTGGACTTCCTTGGTGGCCTCCCACACAAATACTGTCCAAGACTGACCCTGCTTAACTTCTGCAATCTGATGAGATTGGGCTATCCTCTCACCTCGAAAACCCTGTGGGGGTCACCATATGTCAGTGTGACTTTGCAGCAAAAAGTAATAATAAAAAGACAATGGTTGTATGTAAACTGCACGACTCATACAGAATTAGATTTATTTAAAGGTATCAAACCATTTCAGAAGGGAAATCAACAACAGGAGGACAACCAATCATCATAACAAAGCATTTCAAAGGGTACTTTCTAAAGCTTTGTTCAAGGTGGCACCTATTGCTTTAGTACAGAGTGATCAATTTTTCTTCCTAATGACTTGTCTTTGGAAACAACAACCATGTGCTGTAGGATAAAAGCACCATTTGTTATGCTTAAAAGGCTTGGGGGGGCTTTATCGATCAAGAGGCTGTCTGATGAATATTTGAGCCCATTGTGGAAGATGGAGATGTCTTCTGTTTGATATTGTTTGCTTTGCATAAATTGTCAGCCACTGCCTGCAAGTTGGCTGATAAGATGGCCCACCAGTGACCTATACAAATGAAGTTCGAGCGCCCTATTTATCAAACAGAGAACAACAGACTGCAATTCTCCAGCCCGCCCATCCATCCACCCATCCAAAGATATTAGAAAACTGTTTTCTAAAACCAAACAAACCCCCATGATAACCAGTGTTCTGTACCAACCTGCATCAGAAGTCTGTGGCTCACTTGTGGTGAACTGAGGATTTTACTACAAGTCTAGCTGTATGCGACAACTAATGCAGGGATCTGCCACCCAAGGCTCTAGAGCCCAGCCCAATGTGGATCACTATGAAACCATATCCAATCTTTAAACTATATTGGAGAGGTGGGAAGGATGTTAGAATAACCAGTATGTGAAGGGAACGGCAGGCAAAGATTTTCATGGGACTAAAGGGGGAGGTTCTTTACAGAGATCCTTTACAGAAAGGGAAACTATCAAACGAGGCTGAAGTTGATTCCTTATTCCCAGTTCCTTATTCGTGACTTATTTATGAATTCAACCAAAAACACTGAGGAGAGCTTAAAAGATCTGAACCCCGAAATAAGGCATGGACCACCATGTATCATACACCCCCACATTCAGTGGACTCTCCCCTTGGAGGGGACATCTGCTGTTTCCTGGTCCAAAACCTGGTTCTTGTGCCAGCCGCTCCAAAATGAGGTGTCCCCAGGACAATCGCGCAGGCAGACACCCCCAAACAATCTTTGGACCACCCCAAGTGACACATTCCCACACTCCAGAGACTGTCTCCTGCAAGAAGACATGCAGTGATGTCCAAACACTGGTTCCGGAGTCACAAGCTTCTATTTGGAGTACCAGCAAGAGGCCTTTATTTCAAAGGAGATTTGAATAAGGAACTGGTATGACCTAGTGCCCTCTGCACCCCAAAATGAGGTTTGGATTGCCAGACTTCATACACCCTCACATTCAGAGGACTCTCCCCTTTGAGGGGACATACGGCCTTTTCTGCTCCAAAGTTCTTGTGCCAGCCACTCCAAAGTGGGGTACCCCCAGGACAATCGCACAGGGAGACACTGGGGCCAGGCTGCACCCCAAAACAATCTTTGGATCACCCCAAGTGACACATCCTCACACTCCAGAGACTGTCTCCTGCAAGAGGACATGCAGTGATGCCCAGTCCAAACACTGGTTCCGGAGTCACAAGCTTCTATTTGGAGTACCAGCAAGAGGCCTTTATTTCAAAGGAGATTTGAATAAGGAACTGGGCTTTGGACCAGGAAACGCCATATGTCCCCTTGAAGGGGAGAGCCTGCTGAATGTGGGGGTGTATGATATATAATGGTCCACACCAAATTTTGGGGCTTAGAGCTTTCAAACTCTCCTCAGTGTTTTTGGTTGAATTCATGAATAAATCGTGAATAGGGAACTGGGAGTAAGGAACCAACTTCAGCCTCCTAATAATCTAGGTGAACAGTTGCCAGTAATTTGAATGTGAATCACACAGAGTTTCATGCTAGCACTCTAAAACAGTCATACAGAGTGCACCTGGGCATTTGTTACTCATTGTGGGACCTCATGTGGGCTGTTCCCTACAAAATGACATGTCACAAGTGCAGTTTGGGCTATGGAAACATGGATTGTTAATCACCATTTATCAGTAATGTTAAGCTGCATGTTTTTGGTTGTGCAAGTGGCCTTAGGGATGCCAGCCTCCAGGTGGGACCTGGGGATCCCCAGGAATTACAGCTCATCTCCAGACTACAGGTATCAATTCCCCTGGAGAAAATGAACGCTTTGGAGTCTGGACTCTACTACATGGAGGTCCCTGTCCCTCCCGGGCTCCATCTGGCCATCGTACCCGCCCCCATCCTCTGCCAGTGACCAGGAGGGACCTGGCAACCCTAGGTTACCCTGGTGATCTCATGCTCTGAATTTTGATGTAGCTTAGCTCTTTAATTGCAAAAGGTTGCAGACTTCTGAACTAATGGCTTTGGATGGAGACATGTATTTCCATGTGCATCCAAAGGGGTGGGGCCTGGATACAGATGAGAGTACAAAACTGCATGAGATGTTGGAACAGCTCCTTTCACTCATATTGAAATCTGCAGCCTGCTGGCAAGGTATATGAATCATGGAAAAGGACATATTTCTCAATTCAAATGTTTGGTTCCCAGGAACTAACAAGTACGTACCTAATAAAGATTGGCAAGACTTGGATAACTGTCACTCACTGCCAATGAAAAGTGGCACTGCTAATAGCTGGATATGAAAAAAGGCAGCAGCACAGTTCAAGGAGGGGGACCGAATTTTATACTACCCACTTCACTACTCTAAGGGCCTAGCTACGCTGCAGATGGCTTAACACTCATTTTCTCCACACAAGGAATTGTGGGAAATGTAGTTCTTCTGGGAGAAGGGAAAGGAAAGAAGGATCTTTAACAGAACTCTTAGCACCCTCAGCAAAGTATAAGTGCCAGCAGTATTTTATTTTATGTATACAGATTTCCAGTGTAGCTATATCTCTATCGGTTATCAGTTGCTGGATCAGAACCTACAGCTGGCTCATGGCACAACCGTCTGTGTTTCACGGTGGTGCCTCCAACATCTCCTTCTTTATTGTGTTTTTAAGAGAAGGAGAAGGAAGGAGTGACAGGGAAACTAAAAGTTTAGGGATTGGGAAAGGAATAGGCTTGCCAAGTCCCCCCGGGGGGCGGGGAAACCCCCGCCCCAGAAGCCCGTTCCCCGCTGCTGACGGATCGGGCCCTGGGGGGAACTCCACCCCCAAAGCACGGGACGTGCCCGGCGTCAGCACGTCACCCGGAAGTGACGCAGCCACGCCGGGCGCGCTGGGGGTGGGGCCACGGTCATCCGAGGGAAAACTCTATGTTTTCCACTTGGATGACCGGAGCCCTGCTTCCGGCGCGCAGGCGTGGCCGCGTCACTTCCAGGTGACATGCTCGCGGCATGCGTGCCCTTCGCGCGCACGTGCGCTCTCCCAGAGCGAGCCGGGACTCCCCTGCTGTGGCTTAAGGTACGACTTGGCAACCCTAGAAAGGAAGAACAAAGAAAGTGGGTATGTATGCAAAATTTAAAAGTGATTTCATGCTACAGATTGAAGTTAAAAGGTGGCTCCCTTTGCAAAGACTGAAGTCTTTTGGGTGCATCAGTTCTTTTCTTCTGCTTTCAGTTGCTGACTATTTCCGCTGCTGTTTTTCTTCTGCTCTACCTCTTGCTATGCTACGAAAACTTCCACTTCCATGTGGCTCATATGTATGCTCACCTAGGGTATCCCAACGCCCAACACATTGTGGGACAGAGATATTTAAAAGGTAAGAGCAATCTAAGTCCGTAATATCTCTGCTTGCTCTTGGTTGGCTTCAGTGCCATTAAAGCAATCCAGTTGTGTACAATTGTAGCATTTGCTTTTGTGAGAAAGAAAATCTGTACAGGTATGGATTTGTGGTGCTACTGCAAACCTCTGTGCTGCTTGCACAAATCTGGATATGGCTGTATTGTAAATTGTCCTCATTTTTAGATATTTTCAGAGGATAGCCGTGTTGGTCTGCAGCAGCACTAGATTCGAATCCAGTGGCACCTTAGAAACCAACAAGATTTTCTGTATCCATAGAACACAAAAGCTTATACCCAGAATTAAACTTTGTGGATCTTAAAGGTGCCATTGGGCTCAAACTTTGTTCTGTTACTTCAGAAGAAGAAGAGTTGGTCTTATACCAAAGGAGTCTCAGAGTGGCTTACAATTGCCTTCCCTTCCTCTCCCCACAACAGACACCCTGTGAGGTAGGTGGGACTGAGAGAGTTCTGAGAGAGCTGTGACTGACCCAAGGTTACCCAGTTGGCTTCATACGGAGGAGTGGGGAATCAACCCTGGTCCTCCAGATTAGAGTCTGCTGCTCTTAACCATTACACAAAGCTGGCTGTCACTGAATGTATCTATCCACATGGTTTTTATATATCCTGAAAATCTTGTTGGTCTCTAAAGGTGCCACTGGACTTGAATCTAGCGGTTCTACCGCAGTCCAACATGGCTGCCCTCTGAAACTAGCTTCATGGACGGTACTACATTCAGCTTCAAGGAGTGGAAATCCATCAGCCTCATAGACTTGTATCTGACAAAGGGAGCTTTGACTCTTGAAAGCTTATAATGCAGAAATGTTTTTGGTCTCTAAGGTGGACTCAGATCTACCAGATGTTTAGATATGTTCCTCAAGTGCTGGAACCTGGATGGTGTGAGTGAGAGTCTGCCATGTTGTCAGGGTGGAGCCTCCTTATGGGAGCCTTGACAGACCTTGAGAGGAGGAGGGGTGAGCAGCACCCTTGGTCTTCTGCCTCTCTGCCCACTGCCCCTTTGTAGATGGTTAGCTCAGAGGTCATTTCAGGGGGGAACGCGGGGGAACACAGTTCCCCTGGGTGAGGTGCAGGGGGGCGGGGCACATGATGAAGCCCCACCCCCTGCTTCCGGCCGCCCTGCTTCCGGCCCTTATTCAGCCAGGAGGAGGCAGGAGAAGAGGGAGGGTAGTTTGCTCCCCCCCCGCCTCTCCCCACCCCTGCCTGCCTGGGGCCAGGGAGGGCCTTGGCGGGGCTTCCTCGCACTCCCGCTGGCCTTGCAGGTGTGGCATATGCTAATGAGTTATGCTAATGAGTTCCCCTAGCTCTTTTTCTACGAAATGACCCCTGGGTTAGCTAGTATGAGATCTAGGGTGTGCATCTTTTCCGGCCTGAGTCCCTGGCTCTTATGAAGGAGACTCCCTGGATTATGCCTGCCCTGAATTATGCCTGCCCTTTCTTCTCTCTGCCTCCCTGAGAGATGTCCCACCCTCCAGGGTTGATAGACAGAAACTGTTGCCAATTGGATGTGACCAGGGCCGGGCTGGTCTCTAGTCTCCATCCCACTTAAATGGGGGTGCTATAGTGCTAACTTTTGTTATGCACAGAAGCAGAGGTCAGAAAAAGTTGGTAGCCTTATTGATGAGCCTTTGTCTCATTACCAGGAGCTGGTGTGCAAAAGAATGAAGAGAAAGCTATGCAGTGGTTCAGGTAAGATGTGGGCAATATTAATTTTATTAGTAATCTACCTGTGATTTCCCCCCCCTGTGATTCTCTATAGTGCTTACTAAAAGAAACTCTGGAGCAGTGGGAGAAGGAGCAAACCCGCAGGTGTATAAATAGGTCACCTTAAACAGCTATGGAAAAATCAATTGCCTGATGGAAGACACCCCCCCTTCCTTGCAAGTGATGGAAAAGGCAAACTTCTAGGGCAAGCTGATTCCAATGTGCTGGGGCAACAACTGCAAAGGCCCTGCTCCTAGGAGAAGCCAGTGTTGTATCTGCCTGAGAAGGCATTCTAAACACTGTCCTGGACTGATGGCAGTTCTTAGGAAGAGGGAAGACTCCTGAAAGAAGGCACCTGAGATACTCTGGATGCAGGTCATTTAAGCAGGTTAACATGAACTCATAGATACAGATATATAATGGGGGGGAAAGATGCAATATAGTTGTTGGAGCGTTGGTGTAATGTGCTTTTTCTTGTTTCTTGCTGACAAAAGATGGGCTGCAGCGTTTTGAACTAATTGTCACTTTTGGACAGTCTTCAAGAACAACTGCATGTATGGTACATTATTATTGTCTTATGTTGTGCATTATTTGTACATCTGATGAATCAGCTGAGGCTATTATAAGGGTACCCTTGACCACAGCTATTATTTGAGGTTTCAGCAAAAATCCATAGCTAGGGAATCTCTCAAACTAGAAACCTGCTTCTTCATGGAGAATACAGTATCTTCCTAGCCAACTCGTTTCCAGAAGCTGTATATGACAAGCCCCATGGAGAGGAACGATAGTGTCTCAGCATCACCTTCTTGGATCTATCTTCCAGGAAGGATGAGAACCACTACAATATGTTAATGGCTTAGTCCTGACATATCAAGGCACTCTAGAAAGATAGCATGGTTAGTGTTATACAAAGCCATTGAGAGTTCTAGATGAATCAACGGGATCATGCTCGCCATCTCTTTCTCCTAGCCTAGATAATTCATCAGGGTAACCAAATCAGTTTGTATCCCAAAACCAAATCCTCTTGTGCATCTTGACCCAAAAGGGTCAATTAGAAACTGGCCTATTATTGCCAGGTCAGTAGGCCCCAATGATTACTTTTTCTAGAGCACTCTACCTATTCATCTTTGTAGCTTCTGTCTTCTGTCGCAGGCCTGCCACAGAGAGGATCTAGCAAGCTTTATAGAGACGTTTCTAGAGCCCAAGAGTGTTCCCCCTCTCCTCCATCTTCAGTGAAGCCTGTCCCGCCCAAATGGCCATGTGATGGAGGAGGGGCAAGCAGTCTTCCCTCAGTTCTCCTTGCTGCTGTAAGGAGAGGGCATACTATGGCAAGCTACTGTGAGCAATGTCCCTCAGGGTTGGTGAGTGCGCCTGGCTATGGACAACATGACAGCCAAATTTTACATAAACAAGCAAGGGGGCACAGGATCTGGCAGTTTATGCATGGAAGCATCTCACATCTGGTGTTGGGCAATAAGTCATTGGGTAGATCTAACAGCCATGCGCATAGCTGGGCAACACAACACCTTAGCAGACATCCTAAGTAGGGATGTGTCCATAAGCCAAGAGTGACCAGTCACGGACCATTACCATCATCCAATTTTTCAGGACTTGGGATCCCCCAAAATAGATCTCTTGCAACTACAACCAACACCAAATGCCCAGGGTGGCAGCCAGTGTTCCCTCTAAGCTGTGGAGTCTTGTGAGCAAAAATTCTGCTTTCTGAGCTACTGGCTTTAAAGTTGTGAGCAAGCGATTTGGCTACTGTATAAATTAGTTTGCTCTGGAGCCCTCCTTCCTGAGCTAAGACAAAAATGTGTGAGCCGGAGGCTTAAAAACTGTGAGCTAGCTCACACTAACTCAGCTTAGAGGGAACACTGGTGGCAGCAGACCACAACTCACCTGGAGATGTGTTCCAGCTACACTAGCATGGGCACCTGTTTTATGCATCCCAGAATTTTATGCATTGCAGAATGGTTGCCAAACTGAAGGCAGACAAAACAGTGTGTATACTTCTTGCACCCTATTGGCTGAGATGGGTCTGGTTTCCACTGCTCTGGAACCTGGCAAGGGGAATTCACAAATCCCTCCCACTGGAGGAGGATCTTCTACAAGTACGTCCAACCTGCCACCCTGGGCTCAGGTGCTTACACCTGACAGCATGGTTGATCAACCGCTACCACCATTGACACCGAGGGTGACATGCAAAACTTCTACAAGAAGGTCTACATGAACTTCTACAAGAAGGTCATATGAGTATGAATGGATGAGATTTTCAATATGGGCAAAGGAATAAGGGATTAGTCCAGAAACCTGTGACATATCTAAGATATTTAAGTACCTCCTTACCCTGAAGGATGAGGGATTAGCAACTTCATCCATTAAAGTCCACTTGGCTGCAATCTCATCTTTTCATGAAACAGTAAAGGGACCCACAGTTCTCTCTATTGCAGAGTCCAAACAGTTCCTTAAAGTTCTGTTGAATTTATACCCACCTGTTGTATGCCCTGTCCCACAACAGAGTTGATCTCTGGCTTTGTCCAGATGTATTTGTAAATCATTTGAACGGGAGACGATATCTGATTTGTCTTTTCTTTCATATAAGACAGTGTTTTTGGTGGCTATCACCTCTGCCCACAGGGTGGGGGAACTAAGCGCACTTTCCTGTGACCTTCCCTTTCTAAAATTCCATACAGATAAAGTGGTGCTGAGACCATGCCTGGAATTCCTCCCTAAAATAGTCTCCCAGTTCCACATGGGTCACAACATCACCCTTCCAGTTTTTTCCCCCTTCCCTGACTTCTACATCAGGAAGGATGCTGCACACATTGGATGTTAGAAGGGTTCTCCTCTTAACAGAGGGCTTTAGGGGGGACAGGAATTTATTCATTTATTTCAGAGGCCACAATAAAGGGAAGGCCGCCTCTGCACAAACCTTGTCTAGATGGATAGTTTCCACAGCATAGAGCAGCGTATGCTGAAACGGGAGCTGTCCTGTCACTGTATCAGCACACTCTATGATGGCTCAGGCTTCATCAGCAGCCTTCTCATCCAGGCAGCCACTCCAGGATGTATGCAAGGCAGCCACCTGGTCAACGGCCTCGACCTTTGTATGGCATTACTCCATGGACATCGACTCCTGGAGTGAGGAAGCTGTGGGGAAGGCGGTATTATAGTCAGTCTTCTGCTGATCCAGGCCACACCCTCCTCTCTGGTAGGTGAACTTGCTATTCTTCCATGTGGGACTGCACAGAAGCCATGAAGATGAAAATGGGGGTGTACTTACCTGTGACATCGAGTTCATCAAGTGGTCTTCTGTGTGGGCACACAACCCTCCCTCCTTTCCCCGCTGTGGTTTTCTCTACTGAAGCTAACTCCTTACTGCATCGAAGGGAGAACTGAGGGGGGAATGCTTGCCTCTCCTCCAATTCTATGGGCCCCCAAAGACGTTGCCCCCATTCCCTCCATTGGTTCCTATGGTGGGGGGAAAGTGTCTTCAGTGGGCTGGGGGGGGAGTGGGTTGAGGGAGAGGCAACAAATCCACAGTGTAGCTGCTGGAGCCTCTCTCCACATGAACCCCTAAGTTCCAAAGACATTGGACCAGTAGGTCCAATTCTTATGGGCACCCAAAGAGGTTGCCCCCATTCCCTCCATTGGTTCCTATGGTTTTATATCGTGGTAAAATATCCTAACCCAGCAAACAGCAGGCACCCAGCAGTTGGACTCTCCCAGGGAATCTCGTGGAAAGTGAACTGTTGGGAGGTTGCTTGTTTGCCAGGAGTCTAACACTGCTATGTGCACAGTAGAACAAGTACCACTGTGGCAGTGCAAGTGCCACACCGAAATCCAAAAGGACCAACCCAAGAATCTCTGTTTTACGAACTGAGGGGGGGGGGGCTTTCTGCAAGGACAGCAGAACCTAACACCAAAAAACCAAAAGAAAAACCAACGACACACACAACTACTGAACTAACACAGACCCCTAAAGAAACCTTAGCTGATCCAATCCAAAACATCATCAACAACCCACACACACACAGCCCCCCTCAGCAACCAGAAGGAAGAATCTACTAAAAAAGGAAAACTTTAAAAACCCAACCTTCATAACAACAGTGCAACAACTATCACACACCAGAACTTACAACAAGACACACTATTGAACAACAACCCACACCCCACCAGCTCCCACCCAACAACTGAAAGGAATCTACTCTTAAATAGGAAAACTTTACTAAACCCAACCTTCACAACACTGCAACAACTAACACAAACCACAAGAGAAGTTGAACTAGTGAACAAAAATGCACACTAGTGACGACCAGTTCCCCCCCCCCACAACAACCAGAAGGAACAATCTAAACAGGAAAACTTTCAAAAAACCCAGCCTTCATAACAAGACTGCATGTGCAACAACTAACACAAACCAAAACTTTTGGCACACTATTGAGTTTGAACAACAACCCGCAACCCACCAGCCCCCCTAGACCCAAAAGGAATAAACTAACCAACAATAAAGCTTTTAAAAACATGAAAACAAACTTTAAAAACTTTTTAAACACTTAAATTGTAACTTTAAGCAAAGTTAAGTGGAACTGAGCAAAGCCAATTCCTCCCAACACCCACCCAACAGAACCCACCCACCCAACACAGCATATGTAAAGGAAGCCTTGCAAAGAGCTGCATCGTGCATCTGCAATTTGTAGATGTATGGCAGAGACTGGCTGTAAGCTGCCCTCTTCCCTCTCTCCCTCCCCCCTTAGCCCAGAGAAGCCAGGGAAGAGGTGGGAAAAGCCCTGAATTGGCAGGAAAAGGAAAAGGCAAAAGTAGGTAAGGGAGCATTTCAAACTTTAAACCCCTTCCTGCTGTGTCCCACCATTATTTGGGCCCCCCGAATAGCTGCAGAATAGTTCAGCAGCTGTTCAGGGCTGCTGTATTCAGCATGCCGAATCAGATTAGAGAATCTGATTTGGCATTCGGGGAGCCCGCATACTGCCACATAAGCAGTATTTGGGCTTTTATTTGTCTCGGCTGAGCTGAATGCACACCCCTAGTGGTTGGTGCATTAGCAGAATCTCCAGTTAAGCTTAACTTCCAACACTTTTATGTAAATGCTTGCATGAGAAAAGACCTAGTGGGTAAAATGTCATCTTTATGGATGATGGCTACTGAAATAATAGTGGGAGAGAAGGACTTAAATACAAATTCTCCAAAGCAGCCTCTTGTAAGAGTTATAGGAAGAATATGTGGTTTGATCCTGGGAGATTAGGCTTGGCTCCCTTTATTTCCTTTCAGGGTTCTGGAGTCTTTTAGAGATGCTCAATTTGCAGAAATTAAAGAAATGCAACTTTACTTTGCATGGAGATACAGTTGGGAAAGCTGAATCCTCTGTCTGCCATACAATTATGAAAGGTGAAAGGCCTGCCCTTCCCAAAAGGAGGGGAAGCCTTGGGGAAAGTGTGTAGTATGGACCTGGCCCTAGGACTGCCAGGTGTCTGCTGAGGATGGTGGAACTCCTGTCCTGCCCTCCAATGGCCACCATCACTCTGGTGAGCAGAAGAAGGAAAACAAGGGAACATAGGCACTGATGTTTTGATGTCTAGGTAAAGACCTAGAAGTGCAGTTATTCTTCCTCTGCAATGTGCTAAGAGCAGACCAAATATTTATGAAGCACCTGCCTTAACATCTAACGAACAGCTTGTAGGCTGTTCGATATCCACCGCGGCTGGGGTGAGCACCCGGCCCTAGTCCCAGCTCCTGCCCACCCAGCGGTTCGAAAGTCATAACAACTTACGAGTAGATAAATGGGTACCTGCCTTAGAAGGCAGGGAGCACCCTCCTCCATTGGGAGGTGAGGTGGGAACCTCAGCAGCGACGGTTCGGCGAGCGGCGGCAGCAGCGGAGTGGCGTGTAATGGCGGCGGTAGTCGAGACGGTGAGCAGAAGAAAAAGGAAACGCAACATCTAACGGTGAACCGGCGGCGAAGGCGGAGCCCGGAAGGCGTGAGGATGCTCAGCGCAGGCGCGGCGGAGCCTGAGGGACGGAGCCAGTGCCGCGCTGATGCGATCGGCACAACGAATGGGCCCGCCAACTCCAAAAGATCTCCCGAGGAGCCTGAAGAGAGCGGAGGGAAGATGCCGACCCGAAGCCGAGAAGCCGAGCCGAGCCGAGCTGAAGACACGTCAACTGAATCCCACCGGGTGCCGTTAGGTAGTCCCACCCCTAATACGATATATATATGTGCCCATAGATAGGGATAATACAAAACTATGTAAGCCGCTCAGAGACCCATGGGAGGGGTTCGAGCGGGCTAGAAGTTGAAGGTAAATAAATAAATAAATAAATAAATCATAGAGTTTTAGAGATTCCTAGATCAAATCAGTCAATCCTAAAAGAAATCAACCCTGACTGTTCCCTGGAAGGCCAGATCCTGAAGTTGAAGCTCAAATACTTTGGCCACCAAATGAGAAGGGAGCACTCACTGGAGAAGACCCTGATGCTGGGAAAGATTGAAGGTCAAAGAAGACGGGGACGGCAAAGGATGAGATGGTTAGACAGTGTCATAGATGCAACGAACATAAAATTGAGCAAGCTTCAGAGGACAGCGGAAGACAGGAGGGCCTGGCGTGATCTGGTCCATGGGGTCGCGAAGAGTCAGACTCAATTGTGCGACTGAACAACAAAAGAGTCTATTGGGAGTAGAAATGTCAAAGTGTCAGTGACTCTTTCCGTTCCCAGGCCTCACCCCTAAACAGCTCCCAGGAAATGTGGGTGCAGGCCTGTCATCCCTACTCTGCCCATCACACACGTGATGTATCTGTGAAGACACAGTAGGAAACTTTTTGCCCAACACTACTCCAACATGCATCTTCATTTCTTTACATCAGATTGATACATCTTAGGAATTTCCAAGGCAAATGCAGCCCACCAGCCTCAGGTGGGCTTCTGTTTGGATGGTTCCTGCATTCAGCATGGCAGGTAGTGGGTTATGTAGGCACGGGTTACGTCTTCTATATATTGAACTCATCTGGCACGTCTTTCTTTCTTCTCTCTCTCAGTCAAGCTGCAGAGCATGGCCACCCTCACGCCTCTTTTAATTTGGCTGTTGGAAAGCTGAAGAATATGACAGTGGGGCTTGGAGAAGGGTAAGTTGTTTCCTTCCACTGCTATGGAAGTTCTTCTCTCAGCAACTGAAATTCAGTGTAATGTAATGTCTTGAGATAGACAACAAAGGCACAACAGGCCAGTCAGTCTGACGTCGATACTGGGTAAGTTGGTGGAAACTGTTATTAAGGGCTGAAAAGGGCAACTCGAATGATAAAAGGGTTGGAACACTTTCCCTATGAAGAAAGGTTAAAGCGCTTGGGGCTCGTTAGCTTGGAGAAATGACGGCTGGGGGGGGTGACTGGATCAGAGTTTATAAGATTATGCAGGGGACAGAGCAGGTTGAAAAAGAAGTACTTTTCTCCCTTTCTCACAATACAAGAACTCGTGGGCACTCCATGAAATTGCTGAGCGGCCGGGTTAGAATGGATAAAAGGAAGTACTTCTTCACCCAAAGAGTGATTAACACATGGAATTCACTGCCACAGGAGGTGGTGGCGGCTACAAGCATGGACGGGTTCAAAAGGGAATTAGATAAACATATGGAGCAGAGGTCCATCAGTGGCTATTAGCCACAAGGTATAGATAGGGGTAGGTAGCGGCTTCTGGGCATCTATTTGGTCATTGTGTAAAACAGGATGTCAGATTAGATGGGCTATTGGTTTGATCCAGCATAATTGTTCTTCTCTTATCCTCGCTTGGACCTCAGATAAGTATAGCGATATCCTGTGGTGTTATCCTTCCCCCCTTGTCTGTTGGGATTGTTATTTTCCTTGCTGATTGTTTTCTATGAACTACTGTAACTAAGGATCTTGTGAGAATCTGTGTATGCTTCTGTTTTTTGTATGCTTGAGAACTGTTTAGTAAAAGGCAACATTTATTCATAAACCTAGCGTGTTGTCTCAATTCCTGGGAATTAGGAGCGTTTCGTTGGCCAATCTGACCTCTGTATACATTGGCAAGAACTCACGCCCATTGTCGTAGATAATCCTGACTTGGGCATTCGGAACCATCCTTAGAGGAGGTCCGGTCACAAGAGGGAATTAGATAAGCATATGGAGCAGAGGTCCATCTGTGGCTTGTTGCCACAAGGTATAGATAGGAACTCTCGGTTTGGGGCAAGTGATGCTCTGTCTTCTTGGTGCTTGGGAGGGCCAACAGTCGGAGGGCCTCTGGTGTCCTGGCCCCACTGCTGGACCTCCATTATTGTGCCCAGTGCTGGTATTCAGAGAGATACTGCCTCTGAGCATGAAGGTTTTGAGGCAGTTGTTTTGCTTTCTTGACCCCCACCGATGCTCCCTCTAAGCCGTGGAGTCCTGTGAGCAAAAATTCTACTTTGTGAGCTTCTGGCATTACAGTTGAGAGCCAGCGATTTGGCCACTGCATAAATTAGTTTGCTCTGGAGCCCTCCTTCCTGAGCTAAGACAAAAATGTGTGAGCCGGAGGCTAAAAAACTGTGAGGTAGCTCACACTAACTCAGCTTAGAGGGAGCACCGACCCCCACCCCATCATTCTGTTTTAAATAACCATCTGCCCCTATCTACCATAGATACAGCCGTGGAGTCCTGTGAGCAAAAATTCTACTTTGTGAGCTTCTGGCATTACAGTTGAGAGCCATTGCCACTATGGCAGCTTCTAAAGGGTTTTTTTGAGGCAATAGATGAGCAGAGGTGGTTTGCCATTGCATTCCTCTGTGTAGCAATCCCATTCTTCCTTCGTGGTCTCCAATCCAAGTACTAACCAAGGCTGCTGATCCTGTTTAGCTTCTAAATTCTGATGAGCTCAGATGTGTCTGGGCTATGCACTTAGAATTATGAAAAGGGCTTATATTTCATAAAGTTCTACAGTTTAGTATATTGAAGGTATGTGATTGTGAGGGGACGGTTCAATAAGAGAGTGGTGATAGAATAGACCATTGGTCAGTTCTGATGTCAGCAATTAATTGTGCATAAATGAAACATTGATGTAGCTTTACAAACAGTAAAGGCGATATGTAAGGATGTAGCTGTCTGTTTAAGTGTTCTTCCCTCCCCAGCCCATACCAATTCACCTAGGCCTGTTCTTCACATGATACAGAATGTGGTAGAAAACTGATGTGACAGAATGGGCTATGCTAGACTAGAGGGAGAGGAGTGTCCTGTTCTTAAGAACAGAAGAGAAGCCATGCTAAATTAGACCAGTGGCCCATCCAGTCCAACACTTTGGGTCATGCAGTGGTCAAAACCCAGGTGCCATCAGGAGGTCTACCAACACGGCCAGAACTCTAGAAGTCCTCCCACTTCTGCGCCATATGTTTATCCAATCCCCTCTTGAAGCTGTTTATATTCCTCTCTATGTAAAAACTCCCTATATATATATTTTAAAATAGCATATCAGGGAGAGAAGTTTAGTTTTTTGGCAGGTCCTCTTAATACTCCAGTGACAAGAAATTGTTATTGTTAAGATTTTTTAAAAAGTATAATTCCCCACTTGTAATCTAATGTGGTTCAGTGCATTTTACCAGCCCTACATCCTGCCACCTCAGTTGCACCTCATTCTCTTGTACATGTAGATGGGGCTATAATAATCATTGTATGCCTTCCAGGGAAGTGGAAAAACTTCTCAGTAGAGCTGCTGGTCATGGACTCCAAGAAGCCCATAATCTCCTAGAGAACATCAGGAACAGAAATCAGCCCTGAGAGACCTGCTGCACTATTTAATAACAAGAGTACCAGCCTGTTCTGTCCAAGTACATTTGCTTGTTTTTTCACTACTACATTTCTGTTACTTGGAACTACTGTTTCTGTCTTGTGCTCTGTGTTAATTGGCATGATTTATGGTTCCAGAACAAGCTAGTCGTAACTCCATTCAAGAAAAGGAAATGTCCCAAATGTTGGTATTAAGACAAACTGTGGAATTGCCTTAGGATTTAAGACAGTTGTTTGGGCAAAATAATTTATTCATGCCACTCAATAGTTGTTTGTGACTGAAATAAACACAGCATATCTATTTACTGTGCAATTTATAATAGAAATTATCTTTATTTTGCATTTGCTACTGCTTAAAAGCACTTTCACAGTGCTTTTACTGGAGAACATAATTACAGTGAATGAAGATGCTTCCCTGTTCGTGGTACCCTCTTTCTCAAGCTAGTGTGATAATAGTTTGGTAATAAACATTTGTTTTGTGAGATGTTATGGGTTGCATGCTCTCACACGGTTGTCATGTGTACTCAGTAACCTTGTTTGTGGGACAACATGGGACCAATTTACAAGGCTTCCTGGGCTAGTTGTTACCACAGTCAGGTGTTGGAAATGGGCTGACAAGGCTAAAGCACGAGGTGGCTTCCAGCCACAAAAAGCTGCCATTTTAACCATAGTTTTTAATCAAAGTGATTAAAGAGTCTAGCGTGTGAGCCACTAGACACGTATCACTTTTAGTCATTTCCTTTCACTTCCCTGCATTCTTCAAGGAAAGTACAGGTGAAACAGTTGTGTTTCACAGAATGATGGGTTGCGAGGATGGAAGATATAATGTTCTATGTGATTCCTTTGTCTGTATGTAAATTTATTTAATCATGGCCATAAAGGGGATTAACCATCATTCAGGCTCTGCCTGGAATTTGAAGTCCTGCAGTTTGTTTGGTTTTCCTTCGGTATCCTAAAGTCACATGTGCTGGCCAATGAGAGAAAGAGAGCTGGCCTGCATATTACAGGCTGGCCAATGAGAGAAAGAGAGCTGGCCTTTACAATAGCTCTGCATATTACAATTGCTGAAGGAAAAACCAATATCATACCAGTGATGGTAGCAACCAACAGATAACGTGGATGTCATTCAACAGTGTACATGCATCTTTAAACCCATGTCTATGTATATCTGGAAATCCTAAGTCAATCAGGGACTTCAGAGAAAGTGCACAAGTGTTGAAAGAGGAGGGGCCATAGCTTAGAGGTAGAGCATCTGCTCGGCATGCAGAAGAGCCCAGGTTCAATTCCTAGCATCTCCAGTTGAAAGGATCAGGTAATTGTGATGTAAGACTTCTGCCTGAGACCCTGGAGAGCTGCTGCCCATCAGAATGGGCATTATTGATGTAATGGACCAAGGGTTTGATTCAGTATAAGGCAACTTCATGCATTCAGATGACTGGGATGTTTGGTACATGAAAAGACTGGTGCCATTTGAGCAGTTCCCTGAGCAATTTTAATGTGCAGAACTGCTCTTAGTACTTGGGCATGTTATCGGCCTCTCATAAATAACACAGGAGAAGGGGAGTTTTATTTCATTTCTCAGTTCTAATTTTAATCTAATGTAGTCCTATATTGACATAGGACAAACAGGTCAATCTCAGTGCCAAAGAAAAGGACAGATATTTGATGCAGAGATACAACTTATTTCTAACCTTTTACATAAAACCATCACAGAATTTACCGCCTGCATTTCATGGCCTTTTAACCCCACTATTCACCATTTCCCCCTTGTATATTCCTTTCTAATTTTAATCTAATGTAGTCCTATATTGACACAGGACAAATAGGTCAATCTCAGTGCCAAAGAAAAGAGGGACAGACATTTGATGTAAAAAAGTCAGCATTCAGAAGTGGGGTCTGAAAGTCAACATTTGTCAACAGAACTACTTAAAAGGGAGACTCCAATGAATTAGAATTTATGAATAAATGTAATTGTATTAACCAGGACTTGAAAGAGATACAACTTATTTCTAACCTTCTACAAATGTTAAATTTTGTTGAACCAACAACTGTAGTTTCTGTAAATGGTCAGTATATGTATATATTTATGATACTTAAAAAAAAAATCTTTACATTAAAAAAATCACAGACCTTACCACCTGCATTTCGTGGCCTTTTAACCCCACTATTCACCATTTCCCCCTTGTGCATTCCTTTTTTTAGTCCATAAAGGCTTGTACAGCAATAAATCTGTTAATGTTTATGGTGTCATGTTGTTTTTGCTTCAGCAGACTAACACATCTACCTCTGGAGTGGGAGAGGGACATTTTGCAGTGATTTGAGCT